ACAAGACGAGCAACTTAAAAACAAAAATTATAAGAAAAATTAAACACGATGGCAGCCTCATTATGCCATGATAATCACTGCTTCATCCAAATTTGTGTTCACTAAAACTTCAATCATATTGTCCTCTCTCTCTCTCTCTCTATATATATATATATATATATACATAATAACTCCGGGCCAGAGGCATCGAATCGTTAGACCATGTAACCTCTCCAACACCATGTTGATGGCCACTTCAGGGCTCGAGAATGGTGTGTCCGTGCATACTCGGGGACACAACCTGGGGAGTCGGGGGCGGTGTGGTGGAAACAGCAGGCGAATGGAATGACTCCACTTCTCCTACTGCCGGCCCGCTGTTGGTAATGCTGCTCCTGCTGGGAAGCCATCTCCGCCCAGGCGACGAGGTATCTTTCCTCCCATGTCCTGTCCATGGCAGCAACCATCTCCCGCATTCTCCTGGTCCGGGGACTATAACGATGCACATACCGCGTTCTCCCCGTCAGAGGACCTCTGTAGCGGGGCTGTTCTCCTCCTTCTGATGATGACTCTCTCCGATGGCGGCACCCTCCTCCCCTGCAGGCTGCAGATCTTGATTCTTATGGTCGAGTCCTCGGCATCACAAACTGAAAGAATGGTCGCCGAAGATATGCACGTGAACGGTGCTGTTGGCTTCGATGAGATCATGCATGAGCTCTAAACCATTGGGGGCGTGAGCAGATATGGTCCTCAAGCGCATGCCGCAAAGCCTTACCAGCTGCACTGTCGGCCTGAGCTGTGCGTTGCCTGACAGGCTGGAATACCACGTTCCCCGCTCTCCTCTGACGACGATGTCGAAGGACACGGCCAACATCCTCACCCAAATCAATTAGGATGTTATGCAAAATGCAAAATGCTAGGAACTGTTCTGCTAATGTATCCACATTTGGTTGATGCTCCTTGTAGAAGTTGCGAAACCTTGCCTTTAGCACTCCATTCCCACGTTCGCTATCCACTCGTACAACCTTCAATAGCGCATCAAATGCTGCAGTGCGCCTGTTCGCATTCCTGGGACCATAAGGGGTAATGAGCCAGGAAAGGAGGGGATAACCCGCATCCGCCAACAAATATCCTCCTGGTGCATCCACAACACCCTGCAGACAGACTGGCCGGTCCTGCTCTACAAATAGTTGCCCTCCCCAGGCGCGACGGTAGAGAGAAGAACTTCTCAACACCATGGAATCGTGCACGGTGCAAATATGTCCGATGTTCAGATCCAGAATGCGTAAGTGATGATAAAAAACAATCTATGCTACAATTGAAAAACGCTTCGTGCGCCCTGAACAATAATCATCCCCACAAGCACGTGCAGGCTTTTCTATATATATATGGGTGCAGTCAATGCACTCCCAGCAGACAGGGAAACCATGCTCTGCATACCATGCCATAGACGCAGCACGATCCTGGGGTGAACCAAAGGTTATTGCGGATGGGAAGCTGGACACAAGAGCGTGTGTCACGTCTTCCACTGCGCGCAGGCCCGAAGCTTTACCCATCCCATAAGCACTTGTGTTGTGCCCGTAGTTGTCGCCGCTCGCCCATCGATGAACTGCATAAGCCAGGAGTTGTGCAGGGTGTAGAGGCTGCCTGAACCTGGTCACTTGTCTTTGCAGCTGAAGCGTCAGAATCTGTACGAGCATCTCAAACGTGCTCCTACTCATGCGAAGAAGTGCCATGTAGTGATCTTCTTCAGCATCATCTCTAACTCGGAGATCCTTCCACAGACCACCCGCACGGCGCATCACCCACCACCGTGGCGGCTCACGAGACATCAGATCCGCTATCTCTGTTATGATGGGCAGCGTAACCCCGGCACGCTGGAAATCCAAGTGATCACTAGACAGTCCGCCTGGAATACTGGGCGGAGCACTTGCGGCACGCAT